TTGTCCACGGTAAACTGACGTTGGCTGTAAATGACCACGGGTCCCTTACGTTATGGCAAGCTTCGGGGCCACTTCCTGGAGTCGTGGAGTTCTTCCATTACTAGTACGGTACATTTCATTAAAGCGTGTTTTTCAAAAAGGTTTTATTTATTTATTTTCTTCCGCAAAAGTCGGAAACACTAATTGTACACGAATCAGGCCTACTGTGCCTCCATATCCGTAGCCCCTCCTAACACAGAACTAACCCTAGCTTTGACATGAATCAACAGCCTAACACACGAACACTCGACTGCGAGCTTTGCACCGTTAACACCGCCCCTGACTCGGCCTCGACTGCACTAAAACAGCAATGCAATGCACACCCCGAAAGCCAAACCTTGACCTCGACGGAGATGTACCGCGAACAAAGTGCCAACTCTGACATGAGCCAAGACCCTAACCCTATCAACTAACAACTATACTGCACAGCAAACACTGAACACGAAATACTAATACTTGGTATAACACTCACCCTAACACATTACTCAACAAATCTAACGTCAACTATAACCATAACATAAGCCCCAGCATGAGACGCGATGGTGACATTCCAACCACGAACGGGATACCCAGAACTATCGATCACCTTCACTTCAATTCGATGGCGGTAAACCGACTGAATCGTCATTAACAATACCACCATCATCATCACCACCACCACCATCACCACCACCACCATCACCACCATCATCACCATCACCACTACCATCATCAGCACCACCACAATCATCACCACCACCACCATCACCACCACCACCATCATCACCACCACCAAGACCACCATCATCATCATCACCAAGACCACCATCATCACCACCCCCATCATCATCACCCCACCACCAAGACCACCATCATCATCACCACCACCACCACCACCACCAAGACCACCATCATCACCACCACCACCATCACCACCACCATCATCACCACCACCACCACCATCATCACCACCATCATCACCACCACCAAGACCACCATCACCACCAAGACCACCATCATCACCACCACCAACATCACCACCAAGACCACCATCATCACCACCACCACCACCATCACCACCACCACCATCATCACCACCACCATCATCATCACCACCACCATCATCAGCAGCACCACCACCATCATCACCACCAAGACCATCATCATCACCACCACCATCACCACCATCATTACCACCATCATCACCACCACCATCATCACCACCACCATCGCCACCATCACCACCACCACCACCATCATCACCACCATCATCGCCACCACCAAGACCACCATCATCACCACCATCACCACCATCATCACCACCATCATCACCACCACCACCATCATCACCACCATAACCACCATCATCATCACCATCATCACCACCAAGACCACCACCATTATCACCACCATCATTATCATCACCACCATAACCACCATCATTATCACCATCATAACCACCAAGACCACCACCATTATCACCACCATCATTATAATCACCACCATAACCACCATCATCATCTCCATCATCACCACCAAGACCACCACCATTATCACCACCATCATTATCATCACCACCACCACCATCATCACCACCACCAAGACCACCACCATCACCACCACCACCACCATCATCACCACCAAGACCACCACCACCAACATCATCACCACCACCATCATCACCACCACAAGCATCATCACTACCACCGCCAAGACCACCACCATCAGCAGCAGCAGCACTGTCATCATAATCACTTTCAACTTGGGAGACCCTCTAACCTAACCCGTACCTCCCCACACATCCAATCAACACCATCTTTCTCCACTCCCGCCCCTCTCTCTCTCCCCTCTCCCCACCCCTCTTCTCTCCCCACACTCTCTCCCTCTCTCTCTCTCCGACCCGGGCTAATCTGTCTGGCCACCGCCTCTCATTCATTAGAGCAGTAAAACGCGGGGCGCCCTGTATGACATGTAATCTGTGCCGCGGCAAAACTCGTTACTGCGAAACATCAGAAACACAATTTAGATTCAAACCTCACCCCCCAGAAACCTCATACCTCCCCCCTCTTGCCTAAAGACACATCGCTACTCTTCTTCAACCACCATCATCATCATCCTCCTCCTCCTCCTCTCCCACATCGCAGCACCCCTCCTCCACCCATCACCGTTATCACCAAGACCATTACCATCTCTCACACACACACACACACCCTGTTCTCCCATCGTCATCTTCCTCATTGTAACATCACCACCATACCTCTCCGCATCACAGCAGCCCCCCACTCACCTCCTCCACCCATCACCGCTATCATCTCAAAATGTCCCATCTCAACCCCCTGTTCTCCCATCACAATCTTCCTCAATTGTTACATCACCACCATCCTTAAATCCCCCAGCCCACCACACCCGCTCATCTATTTTCGCACCATAACTCACTTCTCCTCCAGCACCACAACCACTGTCCACCACTACCACCCTCCACTCCCCTACCCTCTCCATCACCTCCCGATCCCTATCATCAACAGCCACCTCTCATCCTTGGCCATCATCACAGCCCTGCTCCCTCTCACCACCATCACAAGCTATCCTCTCGGCAGAACCACCATCATCGCTCCCAATCTCTCCATGACAAACAATTTGATTTTCTCTCCTCCAGCGGTCACAACCACTGTCCCTCACATCAGCACCCCATTCTCACCCCCCACACCCACACTCTCCCATGACCAATCTGCCTCTCCCCATCACAATCTTCATCCTCCCCATCACCGCCCACCCCGACTCTAGCCAACATCACCGGAACCCACCCCCCCTTAGGCTCATAAGTCAAGAGGCAAGGGGTGGGGGCTCTGGCAGGGGCTGGCTGAGAGAGGGGGCCATCATAAGCACTTGATCTGGTCATGTGGATGTGGATTTTGGCCGTGTTCGCGTTATATACACGGGCTCCGATTAACCACCATTCCGCAAAACTAACCCTATAACCCGTAAGCGATGCCCCCCCTCCCCACCCCCCCCCCACCCCCAATTGCGATCCAAATCGTAGAGTCGTCTTTTTCGTCTTCTTCAATCTAAGCGTCATCTCTCGTTTGGGAATTCTCGTAATTAACGCGGCAGCTCAAGCTTTAAAACGAAAAAGGAAACAGAGGAGGAAGGGGGAAAAAGGCAGCCCCCACCCCCCAACGCAGGCATCGTCAGATTGCTTCCTTCTAATCACGGCTCGTCCTTAATTAGGACTCGGTGAGGTCGCGACTTCTGGACGGCTATGATTAGGGTGCTGGTGGTGCTGGTGGTGGTGGGTGCTGTCATGATTTAAGGGGCACCTCTAACCCTTACCCCAACCCCTCCCCCCGCCCCATCTAACCTTTAACCCCTCAAGCCCGAAACCCCATCGCTAATGCTCACAAGCAATTCTATCCGTAACTTGAACTGTAACCCCAATGCATATAACCCTTCACCCTTAAACCCCCAATCCCGTAGCCTCTACGCTGATCGTTACGCTTGACAATGATTGTAGTCACACTTGCCGAGGCCTAAACCCATCGGACTAACCTCAGACACCACAGCGTCTCCATGAATGCTAAACTCTGAGGCCGAAATCCTAAACGCAAACGTCCACTCACATTGCAATAGCCTAACGTGACACTCGAAACTAAATATTGACTCGAGCTCGAAATCTTACGTAGACTCTGACAATAAGTCATAAGACTTGAACCCAAACTCGTGCATCTATAACGGTACCAAAATGTAATCGTCACCCAGAGCCTAACTTTTAACAATACTGTAATTTTCATTCAAACTTTAATACCGCTGTGGTTGATCATATATAAGGCGAGGTTGATGGAAAGAATCTAGCCATCACTCAAGCACAACTAACAACCACGACCCAGCAACTATAACCACCACTCAATTGTAACTGTAACCACAGCCCAGCCACTCCTGTAACCACCACTCACTCAGTCACACATTGAAACAGCACTCACTCAGCCACACATTTACTCTAACCACGACACAACCATCCCTGTAATCACCACCCATCATTGACACAGAGCATTCGACTAAACATGCACATGTCGTGAGTACTGTGTGCATACTATGTATATGCAGTACTGTTTGTAATCTGTGTGATGTAAGTACTGTAGTGTGTGTGTCGTCTGGACTGTTCGTATGCTCTCTACCGCATGTGTACTGCGTGTTTGCACTGTGGCACTGTGCATCGTATGTAATTTATGCTTGTGTACTGGGTATGTACTGTGCCAATGTACTGTTGTGTACAATGTGTGCGTGTGTGCACTGCTATGCATGTATTGTATGTGTGTTGCATGTAGTGTATATGGTTTGTGTATGTGTACTGCCAGTATGTACTGCCTATGTGCACTGTATGCAGTGTATTCGTACTGTGAACATGTATATGTGTACCGTGTGTGTGTACGATGTGTGTAGTGTGTGTGTGCACGTGTACTCTGTGAGTGTGTGTACTGTGTGTATTGCCTATGTGTAATGTATGCACAGTGTATTCGTACTGTGAACATGTATATGTGTACTGTGTGTGTGTGTACGGTGTGTGTAGTGTGTGTATATGCACTCTGTGTGTGCTCTGTGTGTGTACTGCGTGTCTGTATGTGTGTAGTGTGTATATGTGTGTGCTCTGTGTGTACTGTGTGTACTGTGTGTGTACTGTGTGTGTGTGTACGGTGGGTGTAGTGTGTATATGTGTGTACTGTGTGTGTACTGCGTGTGTGTATGTGTGTAGTGTGTATATGTGTCTGTGCTGTGTGTGCTGTGTGTGTACTGTGTTTGTGTGTATGGTGTGTGTAGTGTGTATGTGCACGTGTGCTCTGTGTGTATGTGTGTACGGAGTGTGTAGTGTGTATGTGCACGTGTGTACTGTGTGTACTGTGTGTAGTGTGTGTATATACGTGTGCTCTGTGTGTGTACTGCGTGTTCAACTCGGACGCGGTCACACAGGAGACACCGACCTCACTGACCTGTCATGTCCAGCATCACAGGGAGACTGCGAAGTGATGAGAGGGAGGGGGGGGAGAGAAAGCGGCACGGAGCGTTGAAGGCGAGAGGGGGGAGATGTATGGAGAGAGAGATATGGGGAGAAGGGAGATTTGAAGAGAAAGAGAGAGGGAGAGAAACAAAATGCGTTGGAGAGAAAGTGAAAGAGATTATGCCACGAAATAATGATAACGAGGTTACACCCGGAGAGAGAGAGAGAGAGTCACCGGTAGTGTGGATTTGTGGACAATAAGGAAACACGCGGATACAAACTATGAGACGAAGGGAGACAGCCTGGGACACACACAGAGAGACACACACACAGAGAGAGACACACACACAGAGACACACACATAAATAAGGAGGGAGACGGGCACAAAGAGGCAGACTGAGTGACAGAGACACCGGGGTGATGACTCGAGACAGCACGAGGCAGAGTGACGGCCACCGCGAGCTTGCGGACAGATCGAGAGACAAAGCGACGTAGGGACAGAATCAGGGACAGGGAGAGAGAGAGAGAGGGAACGAGAGGCTGGGCTGATCTCTTAGAGCGAGAGAGAGAGTGGAGAGAGGAGGGGGAGAGGAGGGAGAGAGGGGAGAGCGCGCTGGAGGGGTTTGGAGAAGAGATTCCCCCAGCGTCCACGATTCACGCACAAACGCGGAACTCCTCGTGCGTCGATCTCGCCCTGTGAGTGTGGGTGTCAGTGTGGGTGATGTGTGTCAGTGTGTCAGTGTGGGTGTGTGTCAGTGTGTGTGTCAGTGTGGGTGTGTCAGTGTGGGTGTCAGTGTGTGTGTGTCACACGCTCTCCACCCACACGCACCCTGCCAGTGTGGGTGTCAGTGTGTGTGTGTCACACGCTCTCCACCCACACGCACTCTCACCCTGCCAGTGTGTCAGTGTGTGTCACACGCTCTCCACCCACACGCACCCTGCCAGTGTGGGTGTCAGTGTGTGTGTCAGTGTGTGTGTGTCAAACGCTCTCCACCCACGCGCACTCTCACCCTGCCAGTGTGGGTGTCAGTGTGTGTGTGTCACACGCTCTCCACCCACACGCACTCTCACCCTGCCAGTGTGGGTGTCAGTGTGTGTCACACGCTCTCCACCCACCCACCCACACGCACTCTCTCTCTCTCTCTGCCTACGCCACTCACTCTCCGCAAGCGGGACAATGGAAGAAGAGGAGGAGGAGGAGACACGGATGGGGCTCGGGTTCTCTGACGCTGCCCCATTGACTCTTCGCTAATTAATGAGATTCAATGCCCCACAAGCACCCACCCACCCCACCCACCCCACCCCAACCTCCTAAACCCCAACCTCCTAAACCCCACTGCGATCCCTCTCACTCCCTCCCCCCCTCTCTCCCCGTCGAGTCGCTACTGCTCTTTTCATTGCCGCTTTCTCTTCTTTTCTCTCCTTTATTCTTCCTCTTTGTCTGCATCCCTCCTCCTCCTCAACCCTGACTTTCTCTCCCCCTCCTCCTCCCCTCGTTCACTCCCCCACACCAAGCCACTGCCTGCGAACTTTTTACTTTAACTCCCGCTCGCTCGCTTTCTCTCTCTTTTTTACGATCAGTGGAAACAAGAAGATGATCGGTGTAGTCGGCACTTTGCTTCGTTCATCATTTCGTTTTTTTTATGCTTTGCTTTGTGTAAACCATCCCCCCCACCCCTTTTAAATGAGAGATTTCGCAATAGATGTCACGCTCTGCTCTCCTTACCCCTTCTCCCTCTATCTACCCCCTCTCTCTCTCTCTGTACCCCCTCTCTCCCTACTCCATGTCTATGTTCCCCCTATATTTTCTATGTAATATTTGTAGTATTATAATATTTTTTTATACAAGTGCTGCTCTCTCTCTCAATTCCCTGTCTCTTCCGCTATCTCTCTCCTCCTTATCTCTCACCCTTGCTCTCCCTGTGTGTCTCTCTCTCCCGTTTTCCCCGTGGACGGCACCCTAGTGTTCACCTTCTGAAGCGCTCGCTCGTCAACGTGGCGTGCGCGATGACCACCACAACCACCACCACCACGTGGCTTTTACTTCGTGTTGTGAGCGGTGCTATTAGCGCCACAGCGCGTGGCTTTGTGGCGTTTATTTTCATTTGTTTGCTGGTGATTTTGTGTATTTTATATCGAAATCGCCTCCAGTGCTGTTGCTGCTGGCGGCAATAAAAGTTGTTTAAAAGTCAAAAGTCTCTCTCGTTTCCATCCCTTCCGATGAATGTCACGTCTCTTCGTTCTCTCACGACTGATGTCTGCACCTCTCTCTCTCTCATTCCCTCTCGTTATCCCTCCTCGTTTTTCCTTTGCCTCCCACTCTCTCTATCTCCCTCAGTTTACTTTGACTTTTACTCTTTCACTTTATCATTCCCCAAATCATCATCAGCCATGATCGATCTACTGCTGAATGAGAGCTTCGTGAGAGTTGTGTTTGACCATACGGAGAGCACAGACGTTGGGCCATAGAAGTACAGTACAGTGCTAAACAGGGTGGTCCAGATGTCTTGTGTAGTTAAACTATACGTGAAAAAATATTTACGTTGTAGAGAATTAAATGGGGGTCACGAGGCGTCTGGACCACCCCTCATCATCAGGATGAAACCTTCACCATGAGGTGTAAACTCAAGAGACACGGGCGGGTCTCGTTTGCGAGCGTGACCCGGGGGGCATGACGTCTGCTGGCAGTAAGGGGCCGTCCATAAATGACGTCACGCGATTTTTGACAATTTTTGACCCCCCCCCCCCCCCATCGTCACACGGCGTCACGAAAAGTCAGACCCCCCCCCCCTCAAATATGACGTCACAAAGCTCTGCCACCCCCCCCCCCCCTCTATGTATCTTGGTGATATCTGTCTGCTTATATGTCTGTCTATGGTTTTCTGGTTAGATATTTTGTTGCTATTTCATTTATACCTGATGATGATTGCTTGTGTTGCAATCGAAACGTCGTATGTTATTATTTAATTTATGATTTTATCTTTAAACGTGACTTTACCGAAAGAACCAACGAGGAACAATGGCACATACTCTTGCGAGTGACGTCAAGATGATCTTTAACGTGTCCACTGTGAGTGAAGCAGAGTGCGCGTTAGTATTAGAAGTAGTAGTTTCATGGTTAAGGCACACGCAGTATTAACCAGGGCGGCAGCTGGATTCGATCCGTGAACCTCTGCAATTCGAGGCGAACCCGCTGGGGCAACGTCAGCGCCCTTAATCTGTTATCACAATCGGGCACATTCCTGGCGATTGGTAGAAGCGATACGGTTAGGAAAATAATGATGCTAAAGTACTGACTTTACCAACGTGTCTGGCGTGCGCTTACCGGCTCCGAGTGGACATTCCATGTTTCCTGCCCTTAAACCAAGATAGATCCACATTTTTTTTGTTTTGTTTTAACCTACTGATGACTTCCCACACACCGAGATGGTACAGGCACAGCTCGTTTCAGCAAGCCCCGAAGGACAGCGGGCGATGTTGAGTGCGCGTAGCGTGTGCCGCCCAAGTCACTCGCTTGGGGGTGATGCAGAGTCGATGCCCATGGCAAGTACACGCCGCCTTGTGGCAACTCACGCATTCAGTGTCTGCGTAGTTTTTTATTTGTTGTCTTACCGATGTGGCCCACGGTGGTTGCTCTAAATGTTTATTTAGTGTTATGTATTATATGGGGGAGTTTTTTCTTTCTCTCTCTCTCTCCGTCAAACTAGGACCCGTGCATACACAATAGAGTCATTGCCTACAAGTGAAGGGGTTGGGCAGATTGGGTGAGTCGGTGGGTGGGTGGCGATTTGGGTGGGTGAATGGGTTGGTGAGTAGGTGAGTGGGTGGGTGAATGGGTTGGTGAGTGGGTAGGTTAATGGGTTGGTGAGTAGGTGAGTGGGTGGGTGAATGAGTTGGTGGGTAGGTGAGTGGGTGGTTGAATGGTTTGGTAAGTAGGTGAGTGGGTGGGTGAATGGGTTCGTGAGTAGGTGAGTGGGTGGGTGAATTGTTTGGTGAGTAGGTGAGTGGGTGGGTGAATGGGTTGGTGAGTAGGTGAGTGGGTGGGTGAATGGGTTGGTGGGTAAGTGAGTGGGTGGGTGAATGGGTTGGTGAGTAGGTGAGTGGGTGGGTGGGTGAATGGGTTGGTGAGTAGGTGAGTGGGTGGGTGAATGGGTTGGTGGGTAAGTGAGTGGGTGGGTGAATGGGTTGGTGAGTAGGTGAGTAGGTGAATGAGTAAATGGGTGATGGAGTGGGTGATTGGGTGGATGTATCCGGCATTCACGAACTGAATGGAGAAACCACGCAGAACTAAACCACTTCATAATTGCTCTTCATTGGCCCTAACACAATTACATCATCATCAAATCCCCGCACCTCCGATGAAGCACGGTTCGCTACCTGCGAAAGAAGTTCAACACACGTACATATCGTTCCCGACTTGGATATAACGTCGAATGCCCCATCTGCCGGGCCGACCCGCATTGCACCTGACGCACCTGTGATACATCGATCATTCTTGCTGTCATCTTCCTGAATGAAGACCTCCCCAAGCCACCCCTTAATCTCTCACGGTCCTATGTGGTCCAACAATCCACCGTATGTACGAGAATGATTCAAACGAGGATAAAGTCCTTATTAACGTAGTTGTGTTCGTTTGAATTTTGGTCTATATGTTTTTTTGAATTCGTATTTCACATAAAAAAAACCGAACTGAATGAAATGACCTCGGGGTCAATAACGGTGAATTAATTGACATCATCGGACACGGGTGAGTCGCGGTCAAACAAATCAAGGAAAGAAATGCAATACTGTACAGGGCGGTCCAGGTGTCTCGTGACCCCTAATCATTTGACCCCTAATCAATTGACTCCTAACATTTTTTTTCCTTTGCATTTTTATTTGTTTTAAATAGACCTTACTTTAAAAACAACATATATTAAGTTTGAGATAATTATATGGGGGTTAGAAGCCATGTGGACCACCCTGTATACCAAAGAGGGTGGGGAGGGGCATTCCAGAACGATAAAATCGCCCTCTTCATGATGCACGCTCCCTCGTCGTATCATCACCCCCCCCCCGCCTCCAGAACTGCAATGGAAAATGCTAGAAATGTCCGAGCATCAGGTAACCGGGTGATGGGATTCGTAAGGAAGATGTTAACCACCTCGCCTGGTACGCAGGAGGTCGTGGGTTCCATCCCGACCCTGACGCCTGCTGCTGTATATTTGGAGTTTGCGTGTCTCTCTCTCTCCCCGTGGTCGCGTGGATTTTTCTCCGGGTTCTCCGGTTTTCCCCTCCTCCACATTTAGAATCAACACCGCCACGCGTCTAGAGTCTGTGGCCGCTTTCTTTGAGCTACCATTCGTGACAGCCGGGCCGCTTCTGCAAAAAGAGCCACGGAGCTCAGCTGGGCCCTCACCTGGTCAAATAAATATATAAATAAATATAAAAATGGTTTAGTAACGAGGGAGGGAGGACGCGACTTGAGGGAGAGAGACACAGAGAGAGAGAGAGGGTGGGGGAGCAGGAGGCCAAACGGGCAGACGCGCGGCGCTAACGAGAACCAATTACACTTAATTACTCCTCGGCGCACTTCGATCGCAACGTGCGCTCAAGATTGGTGCCTCCACACACCGCACCCCCCATCCTACTCCTACTGATGTCAACACTGGGCGCCGTGGGATTGGGGGGTGGGGAGAGGTGAGTGGGGAGAGGTGAGTGGGGGGGGTGAGTGGGGGGGGTGAGTGGGGGGGGTGAGTGGGGGGGGAGAGGTGAGTGGGGGGTGGGGAGTGGGGGCGAGGTGAATGAGGGGTGGGCCGAGGTGAGTGGGGGGGGTGGTGAGTGGGGTGTGGGGAGAGGTGAGTGGGGGGGGAGGGGTGAGTGGGGGGTGGGGAGAGGTGAGTGGGGGGTGGGGAGTGGGGGCGAGGTGAATGAGGGGTGGGCCGAGGTGAGTGGGGGGGGGTGGTGAGTGGGGTGTGGGGAGAGGTGAGTGGGGGGGGAGGGGTGAGTGGGGGGTGGGGAGAGGTGAGTGGGGGG